ATTGTCTCCAACGAATACGAAAACGAACCGGACCTCGGTTCGTCTTCTGACTAGTATGGTCAACAATCCGATCCACCTCGCGGTGGATCGTACCGCGGACAGAGTTATGCTTCTGTCGGCGGTGCTGGACGCTCATCTTATGGTCAACCCCGGGTTGACCACGGTCTTCAGACGCTCCACGCCCGCGTGGAGGCTATTGCGACGGTTCAGGCTTCTGAGAGCGCTGAGTTGAGACAACAGCTGAACTTGCAGAAGGCCTACGTGGCCGAAGCCGCTCAGACCACCTCAAACATCCGTGTTGAGGTGTTGGAACAAGTTCGCCTCTCTCCAGGAGAAGGTGAAGCGGCATGAGGAGAAGCTGAGGACGCGCTGCACGTATGGCTTCAAGCGCCCGACGTAGAACGTCAGGTGAATTCTCATGTCGGAAGGTAGTTCCAACGTGTATGCACTGCCGTGACGTTCTGCCACCGTGAACGGTCCAATGAAGCGCGGAGCAAATTTGCTTGCTCCGAATCCAGAAACTGCCCTACACAGACCCGCCACTTGTGTTCGCATCAGTCCCAGACTGTGCGTGGCTCTTTGTGGTGTCAGTGCCCGGCGCTGACACTTCGTGTGTGATCGCAGCAGGCCCAGCCTGCGCGTGAAGCTTCTCAGTATTGATGCCCGGCATCGATACATCACTTGTGCATGCTACAGGCCCGATCTGTGCGTGAGTCTTCGCGGTGTCTGTGTCTCGCACAGACACGTTGTCCTTGGTCGAAGCATGTGTCGCCGCTCGTGGTTCTTCACAGTGTCAGTGTCCGGCTTGGCACGTCGCCTTGTCGTGTGCGGGCTCTCGCTTTCGCACGTGTCCCCGCAGCTGATAGATCCGTATCAGATCCGTATCAACTGTCTTCTGCGGCTGTTCAGACGCAACCGTAGATCCTCCCCCACTTAAGGAGGAAGGCACCGCCCCGAGTATACTCGGAAGGCGTGGATGCCTCATGGCGTTCACGAAGAAGGGTGTATGCCCAGTCGAGGCATGCACCGCGTTGTTGATGGCGAACTCGGCCATCGGCAAGTAGTCGCTCCAGTTGTGGAACGACTGGGC